CACAGATAAAGTCGTTTTTGTTCTAACACTATTGAGTGTCAATGGATCTCCGAGCTACATGACGGAGTCATGTATCCCCAGGGTCTGGATTCTAGTCAACTAACCAATTAAAACTTGAACTCTTTAACCTGAATTCATCTCCGCGTACAGACGACGTTGGTCAGTCACACTTTTCCCCGCTTGTGTGCGATGTTGGGTCACACTTATTTTTCTTTAGCAGATTTAACCCGTATTTTCGGTGATGTACAACTGGTCTAGTCATTTTTTACGGCTCCACTCAAAGTTAACTTTTAAGTGTTTGTGGTAGCTATCCGGTTAAGGCACGCGGTTTATTTTGCAGTTTACTTTGATCAATAAGGGATTGTCTTCAGTGTTTTTGTCTCTGGAATTAAATTTTTCGGATTGCGTTGTCAGCGTATTTTTCTCTGAGATGATTAGATTTTAGGTAACATTTATATGACATCACTCTTCAATCCCGTATGAAGTAGCGTTACTTGCTACTATCATTTGTGTACTTATCACCTTTGAACTACCCCACGGTATCGGCCGCTTCAGCCTACAGACGTGAATAAGGAGCTGGTTAGATTTTTGAAGCAATGCACTGAGAGCCGCAGGAAAGTTGTCTTCCTACTGCCGCCGTTTCCTCACACAGTCTCTAACTCCTTGTGACTGGGCGATATTTGCAGAGTGTAGTTGCCGCGATCCTGTACATTTACCTAAGCTGTCTTTCTTCTGTCTTATCCATCTCTTCCTCATATATATATATATATATATATATATATATTCAACACTTTACCAATTACATTACAATTGGCTGAGTGCCAAATAAGAGAAAAGAATAGAATAAAAGGGAAACGACTGTTGGAGAAGAGTCTCACAGCAAGTGCGCCATTGTGTACGGTCCTTTTCCCTATCCAGTAGCTTTTACAACTAGATGTGCTCGAAGTCCTTTGATCCCCAACCCGGGAGTCGGGAACGACCAACGACATCCAGCTTCGACGTTTGTGCCTTAACGCATTGGATCCACGTTTTACACGGGCTTCCTTGTCGTCACTTTCATCCCACGCGTTCGCTCGCGAATGAGGCACGTTTTGGTAGCCGCTGCGTAGGCATGCGAAGCACATATCCAAGCCAGCGTCGCCTTCGCAGTGAAATGGTGCTGTCAATCGGTCGGCTGAGTTTGTCAGATTTGAAGACTCGCTGACGGACTTCCTCATTACTGATGTGATGCTGCCATCGAACACCAGCAATACTTCACAGGCAGCGGTGATCGAAGACAGATAGCTGCCGGACATCACTTTTGCGAACGATTTAAATCTCACAGCCTTACAGCAGAATCGTCGTGCCGCATCATCGTAGACTCGTCCCTTCAGAGCGAGGCTGAGGCCATGGCGAAGCCACAGGTGACGAAGCTTAGAGAAAGCGAATCTAGTCTTGGAGACACTCAGACAGCTCTCATCTGTCAAACCACCAATACTAAGACAACTCCCAAGATAAATGAATTTGTCAACCACTTCCAGCGGATGCCCCGAAAGGGTGACTGAGGGAGATGCACTTGGCCAGTCCCTTAACAGGACTTTACATTTCGAAGGGTAGTGGTCAACCCAAATTGGGCGGCGGACATCTCCAGTTTGAGAAGCACTTGCTGGACGACCTGGGTGTACTCGCAAATCACAGCGATGTCATCTGTATACCCCAAGTCCCGAAGGCGGTCACCAGGGCGCAGTTCAACGCCGCAAGACAGTGTTATTCAAGGCAGTATCCAGGCAAAGTTGAACAAGAATGGAGAGGGGGGCAACCCTGTCTGACACCGCTGGTATTACTGAAAGGGGGCGAAATTTCTTCGTATACTCTCACGCGGCCCGAAGTTTGATGGTAAATAACACGGAGAGTGCTGATGTACTTCTCAGGTGCTGCTCTCTTCAGTAAGCAGTCCCATAGCGCCACTCTGTCAACAGGGTCAAAAGCGTCTCACATGTTCAAGAATATGACTGGTTGGTAGACTGATGATATGGCGATGTTCAAGTAACGGGCGGATTGTAAAGATGTGATCGATCCAAAAGCGAACTGTCGAAATCCAGTTTGCTGTTCCCCTACGCAACTGAACCTCCGCAAGAGTAGGGCAGCGAGCAGTTTGGATGCGACGCAAATGACACTGATGGTTGGAGCAAATGGTCCGGTTTACATTTTTGTGAACAGGTACAACATCTGCTAGATTCTACTCGGATGGGATGGTTTCAGTAGTCCAAATCTGATGAAAGAGTTATGTCAGTTCGCGAGTGAGAGCTGGACCGCCATATTTGAAGAGCAAAGGAAGAAGTTCATCTGGGTCATGTGACTTGTGGCGCTTTAGCAGGCGAAGCTGATAGGAAACCTCAGCCTCATTCGGCGTAGAAACATTCACGCACCAGGGAGCACTGTGAACCCCGCATGACGGACTCGGTTGTGCTGGTAACCAGTTGAACTGATCTTCGAAGTTCTCTGCCCATCGTGCCAGACGACGATGAATTCGTTCACGTAAAACCTCACTCACTGTTAGCCTTCTGCCTCTCGTGGACCGAATAACTTGGAAGGGTTTATCGGAGATTTTCTATTGGAGCTGCCCGCTCCATCTCATCGACGCGTTGTGTCCACCAGACCTCGCGACTCTTCCTGAGAAGCTGTCTGAGCTCAGCACCTGTGGTTCTGCGTAGTACGTTGTACTCAACTCCTGCGAGAATTGTTGGAGGGATTTCTATTAATTGGAGAGACTGTGCGGAGATCTGATGCCTAGCAGCTCGTCTAGCGAATCCACAGACCACGGTAGCGGACTTTCCTAAGGCCTTCTGACTCTGTGCTCAGTGTGTCCTAACGTCGGAGGATAGAGGATGCAGTTTGTCGTCTGACGTGTTCTGATCTGCGCCGAGAACATTTGGAGCAGCGTGCTTGTCTGTGTCCAGCCGTTTGAAGCTACGTTGTTCTGTGCCTCCAAAGCGCAGAACGACTATCATACACAAACGCATGATCCGAACTCAAATAAGTGTTCCAACTTGACTTCCAGTCCGTTATGCAGCCTCTCCAACGGTAGCTAACAGCGATATGGTCAATATGCGTCCAAGCTTGACTAGGCGCTGGAGGTCGCCAGGTGGTTCGTTGGCTCCAGCAACGCCGGAAATTGGTACTCGTAAGGAACAAGCCGTGGTCGGCGCACAGTTGTAGGAGTCGATCGCCCTAGTCCGTCCTGCGAGTGCCGTGGCTGTAATGATCCGAACTTCGCGCTCAAGAACCTCTAGTCTACCGACCTTCGCATTTAGGTCACTGGCTAGTATCACGATGTCCTTGCGGCGTTTCTTGCGGAGGAGGTCGATGAGTTGGCGGTAGAACTCGTCTTTAGCTTCACCCGGACTGCAGTCCGTAGAAGCGTACGCCGCCACAACGAATAAGCAGCGTCTACTGATCCCATGTATGGAAGATCACACTGAGCTCAAGCGAACAGCACAAAGAGGGCTGTTGACCGGAAACCAGTCAGTTAGGGCTGCCTCAGCACGCGCGCTTAACGCAACTCCTACGCCGACGCAAACAGAGACTGCCGCTGTCGCATCTCTAGATAAGCGCAAGATGAATGTGCAGTCGGAACATTTGGATGCTGAGAGCAATCGCAGCGTCGCGCTGGAGTCCTGCAAACGGGTCAATGGTGAGGATTTCCAAGTGCGCGCAAGAGCAGCTTGTGATCCGATCTGCTAGCTTGAAGAGCGAGCGGGATGCAATAAAAGCGCTGCTGTTGGAATTAGATTTTATACGATCGGTTTGAAGCGGTTCATTGGTGAGACCAAAGGCGCCGTTTTTATTTGCGTTACATCTTTGGAGATTCGAAATGAGAGGAAGTTTGCTATGAACAGGAGGGTTAAATACACGTGAAACGAAGACGGTAGTTTGCGGTGCGGTAGAGTGAAGTTTAACATGCCCGGCCGTCAGCACCTCGGCCAAAGAGAGAGAGAGTCCAGTGAGCGATACTCGGGAGCAGCGAGTCGTAAATCCATCATTTCATGTTTTGTGTGGGCATATACTTTCCCGGTTGCCCAGGCCAAGGAAGGGGTTTACTTAGGGGGCTTACCCGGAGCCTTTGGTCATAAGGACCTGACCCGCAAGGCAGCGATGCTAATTCAGGGAATCGCGCCCATTGTGAGCCGGTGACTGTTTTCTTAGTTCATACGCCTTTCGTTTGGCAGGTTGCCAAACAGTGGCACAACGTTTAGCTGAAAGATTACAATGCTCCAGAAAGGGACAGTGACTTTATTTAGTGGTGAGTCACATCCGCCATGTCGCAGTGTTGTTAGACATGTGGCTTTTTCTAGGGAGAACGCTTGCCAGGCGAAAACCCGTCACGTCCTGGAACCCCGCCGCCGAGCCACCCAGCTGGCACCACGAGGAGTAGTTCGGCAAGTCAGTTTCATTGACAAAGTCACTTCTGTTGATTTGGCTGATTGTGTTACACAGCGATGGGTAAGCCCAGAGTACCGATGTACTGTTTTCGTTATTAACGACCGCATTTATCATAGCATCCTTCTAGTAGGCATGGAGCATTATTCGTAACCTCTGAGCGATGGGTGTTATGAAGAAATCGACTTCTTGCACCATTTCGTGTCTTATGGCTGTCGACGGACCCACATAATCGAATGGTGGTGATCCTACCCCATGCGCTTACACTCGACGTACTTCTCTGCTGCCGTTATTGTCTTGCACTTTACTTCATTTTTACCGTAAGAACAGCCCTTCGACCCGGCCTTCTAACAGTGTATTAAACATATTATTAGCCTGATAAGGGAACTTCTGGTTAATGCTGTCCGGTTGGACCTAGTATTTGTTTTTTCCTAGTGACGCGACTACTCCTTATTCTTGAGTGATCGCTGCGTTGTGTTTTCGAATAGTGCATGAGTTCTTGAGGTCACATGCCTCCGATGACAACTTGAGCTGATTTTAAGTACTTTGGTCAATTATTCCATCTGGTTTTTCTTTACTAGGATGACGCTGCGCATAGCCCACAGGCAAGGCAACCTTTGGGTCTTTGTATTCTGAGACCGAAACCCGAACCTTCAGTTACGTACACTTCAGCGCCATCTCCAAATGGAGGAACGATTGGCAACTTCCCGGATTACGCGAAGAATGAGCAACTGGATTTCAAGCCACAGTGCACTTCCGAACGGTCATTTAAAACTGAAGAAGATGCTCCTGTGAACTCTTCGGATGAACATTGCGCGGTTAGGTCCATGACAGCACCTTCCTTGTCTGAGCAAGGTATTAATCGACAGTGCGCACACACTTACTTAATTACACCTGTAATTGCACACTTTGCAATTTGTCATACTATTTATAGAGTGCCATTACATATGGATGAAGGCAGTAAAACAGCAAAACTGCACTAAGCAGAGTATAGTTCCTCGGAGCAACTTTCAACCTTACTGATGAGTGTTCCCAGTTAGGCATGCTTTTAGTTCTGTGTTCCACTATGACCTTAGCCGACAGTGTTCTTGTACAACTTAGCGGATCCATTTCGTAATTCTCACAGTGGGGTATAAACCGATGTAGCCGACAGAAGCGGACGTCACTGCACCGACCCACTGAGCTTATAAATATCGAATGCTGGGAAACAAATGTGGACGCGCACCGGGGGCATTAATTAAACATTACCCAACTTCACTGGCAATGTGCGCAAAGATAGGGATTATTTTTCTGATCACCAAAGTGTTTTAACATGACTTTCAGATATTTGAAGTCGAGTATAACATGTGAGTCGTGGTTTATACGGAGCAGCCTTGTTGGGCGCTTTTGCGGAGCCTTCTATGATTTTTTTAAAAGATGCTACAGGCTTCCGCCTAACGAGCGTCCTGTTTCTTGCTCCGATAAGGGAACAAGAACCTGCGGTACTTCGACCTCTGATTAACTTCCGTGGCTTTTGCACAGGATTGAAGCATACAAAACTATTCTTGGTACTGTCATGCGGCGTAAGGTTACAACAACATGCATTAAAATTACAATAATTCTGGAAGGTATTCGGACCAACACTTATCTAGCCCTTTTTTAGAGGTCTCTACTATGCTGCATTTTATTGGTGCTGGAGGTAGCTTATTCTAGCTGTTGACTACACGATTCACAGAGAATTTCACCCTGATATTCAGCTTAGATCTGTTGCTTAAGCTTCAGTTGGTGTCCTCGCAGCTGATCTGATGCGGCCAGATTTAAACACTTCAGTATACTTTATACCACTAACAGGACTCATGACTTTAAATATCTCTTTTTGGTCCCCTCTTAGTCTGCGCTGTTTTATGGAATATAGACTTAGGCGTTCAGCGTATGGTATTTCACATGGACCTTCAATCATCCTAGTCGCCAGTTTTGTTCTTTTTCTTTACAAGCGACGTCTTTCCGGTGGTACGGTGCCCAAGCCTGTACAAGTATTCTAGATGAGGTCTTACCACCACTTTGTATAAAAGAAGAAAAACCTCAACTCTAGTGCTGTATACAGATCTTTTGAGGCGAAACAGCTTATTCCGCGTTTTGTTGGCAGCATACTTACGTTGTGCAGAGGGTTTGAAGTCATTCGCCATGATTATGCCTAATTCTCGTGCTTCATCTGCACGTCGCTGGTCTAGAGGCCCTACCGGCATTAGCACCGTGGTCACTTCATTTCGAGAAGTCAACAACAGCAACGACGACGACAACAACAACAAACAAACAACAGTTCATCAGCCACTTGAACTGATGCTTCGCTGCCATGCAACCATGATGACCTATGGAATAGCAAGAGGGAGAGAAGGGGGACTTACCTATAAACCCTAATGCTCTAAGCAAATATTCAGGGTCAAAGCGGCGACACCTTGTGTAGACAATATACCGTCGCTAATGGCTGGCTGTCGTGCCATGTTTAGGCGACATCGGCGAGACAGCTACCTTGCTACTTTCACTGCTCCGCATCATAATCAGCCATTACCCCGCAGATAACTCAGCACCAAACACACTTTAAACAGGTAATCCGATTAGGAGACGGCAGCAGACAAGCCACTGGTGTCGGTCTCGAGCCAAGCACAAGGGGGGTCGCGTGGACTCCAGCGCGGAAGGCGAGACGGACTGATAGCACCCAGTTTGATCGTCAGTGCCTTCATTTTCTGCTGCCAAGTCAACGTTTGTCCAGCTCGAGCCTTGCGCTATCCTATGCCTGGCAGATTAAACAAGGCTTTCCTAGGTAAGCGGTGACCAGAAGAACGTAGCACTTGTCCAAATCAGCGCAACTTATTCAGGACTGTATATTGTTTTTAGAAACTTGTTTGGTTATCACTGTCTAGTACTCGTCTACGAACCTAATCGCTGTGGACAAGTTTGTGCCACCCGACACCAGCAATGCTTTGCAGATAACCATGATCAAAAACTTGAAGGCTCCTCAAATCTTTAGACCGAAGGGGCCAAGTCTCACTACCATAAAGCAGGACGACCCTCACTGCGGCCTTGTATTCACGTCCTTACAGACTGAGAGAAACTTCTTTTTGTCGCCAAAGATGCCGCAGATTCAAAGAAGGCAGCTCTGACCTTTGCTATGCGTGAACTGACTTCAATTTCTATACGCTCATCGTTGCTGATGCAGCTGTCAAGGTGCGTTACTCGGATTCTTCGTTATCAAGGGTTAAGGAATCATCAACTGGCTGGTGTTCCTGCAGCAACACTTTGCACTTTGAAGGTGCAAAGTGCATACCAAATAATTGGACCACTCTGGACAGGCTGTCCAAGGTTGATTGTGCCGTCGAAACATGGTCATAAGCGAGACGATGTCATCCGCATAATCTAGATCAACTAACCTTTCACCAGGCAGCACATCAACGCCTACATCGTGAGATTCCGTAAGGGAACACTCCATGATAGAATACACGACGAAATTGAACAAAAATGGGGAAGTCGGACAACCCTGATGAACGCAACTTGTGGTCAGAAAGCTATCCGATAGGACACCGTAGACCCTGACGCGGCCTGTAGTGTTCGAGTATAGAGCACGGAGGGTGTTCACATATTTCGTGGGACACCTTTTCGCGCAAGTAATTCGAACAGAATCGATCGATTGACTGAATCGAACTCACTCTTGAAATCGAGGAAGACAGCTATTGTCGGTCTGCGGTATGCGTGGCGCTGCTCTAGCACCTGTCGCAAAGTAAATATATGGTTTATACAGCCGCGTCCTGGGCGAAAACCGACCTGCTCTTCTTTAATCCGAGAATCCCCTATTCACACTGAAGCGACGGACGAGAATCGAGGCCAGTAATTTTGTCACAACTGGCGTTAGTCTAGTACCCCTGCGGTTAGCACTGTCTGTGCGACTGCCTTTCTTGGGCGTATCCCACTATATTTGATTCACGCCAATTTGCCGGGACAGTTTCTTCATTCTATAACATTTCCGTGTTAAGTTAGTTAATAGAGGAAATAACAAAGAATGTTACCTAAGCGAGTACGCGCAATTCTCCACATATCTTCCGCTTGACACCGCTGCTCTCCGCTTTGTTACTAAGCAGGTTCTAAGCGATAGCTACTCAATGCGGAACTGTTACCCATACTATACTTCGAACCCTTTCCCCGAATATCCTTGTCGTATCCTGCGCGTCGCATCAATCATAAGGGATTTAGTGAGGCGATGTTCATCCACCTGCGCTCCTTTCCTCGTGCAAACGATTATCCTATACCCATCATCATCAAGCTTGCTACATCACTGCTCTGCAGAACGGCACACACAACCGATTCCTGATACGTCTGTGCTGCATACGTAAACTGCTACGAAATCTACAACGAGAAATTAGTCAGCATTTCCGATGGACCACATCGCAGCTTATGTGTTATCAGTAAAACGTATCGCATTATGTTATTTCACGACACAAATAAGAAAACGGGTACGCTGAACGACGTTGCGCACTCCTTTCCAAACGGGCGCCAGGGTGTTGTACTATCGCGAACCTGCATATTGCAAGCGGGGCATGTAGTATTTCACGCAACTACTCGGCGATGAAAAGAGGAAAACACCATTTCTACGTATAAAATTATATGTTAATCAGATGAAAATTAACTACAAATCGGACATATGAATAGCACGTCCGTGATTCCCCGTCACGTGCTGAACCATGTTCACGCGGTGGCGCGGTGTCACAAATGATCGTGCCTCTGACACAACCTGATCCAGGAATCTGATGCGCCACTCGCTTTGGCTGCGAACACAATCAGGGTCCCCTCGAAGCATTTCCCCATACCTGCTCCTCATCGCTTGCTTGACGTAACTTTCGATTACACTCCAGATCCCCTCGATAGGGCTCAGCGCCGGTGAGTATGGGGATAATCGTAACATCCTCCCTGATCGGTACTGTTCTTCCTGGAACAAGTTTTCCAAATCTGTGTGGCACGGTGCGTTGTCACAAATCAGCAGGCACCGTTCGATAACATCCGCACCTTGTGCATCTAGCAACTGTCGCAGCCACTGCGCACATCTTTGTAGTTTCCACGTAAACGGGAGAACGCTATCAATGCATCCTTTGTCATGGCTCCGGCAAGATGCACATTTTGCCCGCGACTGTTCGCCACAGTACACTGTGCTCGGCTCCCACATGGTAAACGGCCCGGAGTTCGTACGCCAAAGAGATTAAAGTTGCTCTCGTCGATCCACATCGGTTCCCTTCCTTCCGCTTTCAAATGTAAAGGCTTCAGGACGAACACTTTCCGTCGCTCTTTGTTCACCTGCATGTTCAGAGATTTAGGAATTGTATGTAATTTCCTCATCGTTATCAATCTCCCGTCGAGGTATCTGGCAACAGTACTGGTACAGACCTCAACGTCAAACTCAGCTTTCAAGCGCAAGCGGAGTTTTGCAAGGGTTATGGTGGGTTCCGCCTACGCCCACTCAACCAGAGAGTCGACGTGGCTCTCTGTCATCGCTCTGCGACGAGCACCCCCGTGTTGACCTCCTGGTTCGGTCGACTCCAGCACTTTTATCCAATTGCGGCAAGTGTTCAATTTCACGTGAAGTAAATTGGCGAGGTGCTTCCAGTCGTTTCCTTCTTCATACACTGTCAGTATCCTGTTCCTCACTTCGAACGAGTGACGCACATACGGACCTCTTCGTGTCATTTGGTGTTGGCACAATGAGCTTTCCAGGACGATCTGGGAAAATATGTCATCACGGCTATTTAAACCAAACATCAAATCCTCCATGCATTTGACCCCATTCGGTGTGGTGAATTCGCTTGTCTTGTTGCGACATAATTTGTCCCATG